TGCAACTGAAGCTCTTGCTCTCACTGTGTAAAAGAAATTATGTCAAATAGATAAACCTGAATGTTCACTAAGAAAGGGCACAGTGTGAGATTTACCTGTGTCAGCACTGAGCTGAGCCCCAAAATTTCGCTTTACCTCCCCTGACAGCCTGTGACTTAGGAAAGCAGCTATTTCTTACGGATTTCTTAACAACATTAAGTTTGACATTGGCCTTGTTGCCAGTGAGGAAACCAAAAGATGCACTTCCTGCATCATGTTACCTTTCCATCAGATATCCACCTTCTGCCTGTACTCGTGATGTCATGAGCTGACACACTGACAAACCACAGAAGAGAAAAATATAACCTGGTAAATGGAGCATAACCGGATCAACACTTTGAAAGGGGAAATTAACAACTGCAGAGGGCAGGTCACCTTTTAAAGGAGTTAGTTTAGCCCAGCCCTGAACTGAGGGAACCAGGAGACCTGCCAGAGAACATTACCATGGGTGGTAACCCATGACTTTTGTTTTACATCAATGATTTGCTAGCAGACAATGAAGTTGAATTATCTTGGTTTCCTGAGAGAGCCAAGATGCACTGTGGACTCTTGTTCCTAGATGTCATTGTCCTCTAGATCATTCATGTATTCCCCGAGAACAATATTTAATAAAACCTTAGCAGCCATCCTCTGGCATTACATTATTCAGCCCATCTGTATGCTATTGCCTAGCTCCATCTCCTCCAAAGGATGTGGCAACATGATAGTGTCCCGCCAATACTGTAACAACAAAAGCAAAAACTTATCAGATACATTGGTCTGCCTACTCACATCTCAGAATTAAAGAAAATCAGGCTATTATTGCATCTAATGACAGATCAAAATTTTATTTCATTGCCACTTTTATAATATTTCATTTTATAAGTCAATCATATTCTAACCAAGAAAGCATTCATACTTATACATTCAATGTATACATTCAGCAACAGTGTTAAGAGCTATTACTGCCAGGCAACGTGCCAGGTCCTTAGGATTAATTAGCAACGTCCCAGTGCTCATGGGGAGATGCACAGCACAATGACTAGTTAGGTCCCTGGACTCTGAAGCCAGTCTTCCTGGGGTCCCATCCTGGCCCGATACGTACCAGCTGTGTAACCTTGGGCAAGTGACCTGTTTGTAGTGTTTCAGTGACCTCATCTACAATCATAATCGTGCCTATCTCATATGACTTTTAGGAGGAGTAAATGAGTTAATATGTATAAACCAATTAGAACTGTACCTAGTACATAGGAAGTGTTATGTAAAAGGATCATTTGATAAAATGGAGCACATTTTCTAGTGAGGAAGCCAAACAGTAAATAAAGAAAGAAAATTAAAGCCTAGTTACGGGGACAAACATGAAGCAAACAATTTACAATATAATTAAAACACATCCATTCCTGTCAGTGGCAGGCTAAATCATTTGGATGAATTCTCCGACTGAAAATAATTGGGCGCCAAACAATTTCAATTTTGATAGCCTCCTGGAGCAAAGGGACAGAATTTTAAGCTGAAGTATCACCCAAAGTAGAGTGATTAATAGGAGACCTTTCTCTTGTTAAGCGTAGGCCCCTAAAGGTGGTCCCCTCAAGGTTTGTGCAGCCCAGAAGTAAGCTATACCCTTACCCACCCACAGGTCTGCATGGACAATTAAGTTGCTTTGGAACAGAAAAGGTCTTGGGGGGCAGGGCAGGAAAGAACAAATGGACTTGTCCCCAGAGGGTGTGACTATGAGATAGTGCCCACGTGGACCTCTTGTTTTTCTTGTCCAAAAATTCTCCAGCTGTGAACTTAGTGTAACGTGGTCTTGTCCGGTAGTGACCCTCAGCTCTTGAAAATCCTTTCTAGGTAAGTCACACTTGTCTTAGGCCTTACATTGTCCTACAAATAATTTTTAAAGAAACAGAGGAGCATACAGTAATATCCAAGAATATCATGAAATAAGAAGGCAGTAGGAATGGGTAGTTAGGAAGAGTTGACTAACTGGTGTTGATGGAATTTCAGAGACAGGCTGCACTGTACCAATCAGCTTTGCTTAGGTCAAGTACAAAACTGACACGATTAGTAATTCCTTGTGACTTAATTTTTGAACTTCTAGATATGCATTCATACTGTACAGGATGAGTTGCTATGAAAAGTGGATTCCAACTTCAGGCCTGGGTACTGAAGCTTACATGTTATTAGCCAATGTTACGTTACCTCAATTAAAAATAAATTTTAAAAAGTTTATAAACTAAGTCCAACAACACTGATGTGAATACACAGAAAGGAGGAAAGGGATATTAAACTGCCAGTTCATCGGTGAATATAAAGGGAAAGGCCATGGGACATACATATCTAATTTTCAAAGAAGGGAAAAGTCCATAAAAGAAAGGAATGAAGAAGGGAGGAAGGAGGAGAGGAAAGAATGAAAGGAGTGAATGTGAAAACCGGGGGGGTGGAGGGGGGGGACTAACACCCAAACACATTAATCATGGCTATCCCTGTGTGACAAGAATAGAAATAATCTTTGTTTTCTTCATTTTGATTAGCTGTATTTCTTAAATTTTCTCGTGTGCTTTCCTTTGTCCAGTTCCCACTATAAATGCTTTAAAGGAAGATAATCAATTTCCCAGCCCCCAATGCAATGCCAGGTTTGCTTGGATGCAAATGCCAGGTTTAACCTCTAAAGTTCTTATCTGAATTTCTAGTATGCAAATCTTGCTCTCTAGAAATTCATTCTCTATTGTCTTTGAGTGTAATCATTGACTACACTTAAAGGTTCACCTGAGAAAGCAGCAATTTAATAATAATAAAAAAGACAAAGAAGTGAAGTGTCTTTACTCAAACCATCAATACATTTTTGAAAGATAAAGTATCATTAAGAAATATAAGCATTGCCCAGTCTAAGCATATTTAAGTTCTGTATCATTAAAAGTCACCTACTGTTCACTGGATAGGTAGATCAACTTTAAATGCATCTACAACTGTATGATGTCCAGCTTACCAACACAGACGTGTACCAGCCCATGTCCCCTTATAGAACCAAAAGAGCTGGATTCCTAGATCAATAGTTATAGACAGAGTTTTGTTTGTCTAAGACTAAACTTGTTTGTGTAAGTTTGCTTTTTGCTTTGGGGGTTTGTTTTTTCTTTTGTTTGTTGCTTGCATGGGGGTGGTTATGAAAATTGTATAGGCTAAAACAGTTCTAGATTCAAAAATTAAAGAAAAATAGCCTGAATTGCCTTGATTTAAAACTCTGCCTTTGAAGGTTAAATCATGATGTCTCATATAATCTGATGATTCTCGCCTTTTGGATTTACTCCCGTTTGTTTGTCCATGCACTGTCCACATGCCTTTAATCATTCCTTTAACTCCAAGCCTTTTCAAGGAAAGTGCCTTATTTTACAGATGCATCCCCTGCCTCTAAAAACTTTCCCATAACTTAAACACTTCACTGAATCCTCCTTCCATGAAGACCTTTTCAGGTTGGTCAGGAACAAAAAAATGTGACAACATGAACTTTTTTCCATTTGAACACTATCGTTTTGGTTGTTTTTTTTCCCTATAACTCAGACTGTATGAAAGGGGAATGTTTTGGGCTACAAGTTACAGAAAACTGTGTTTAAATCAGTGGTTATATCATAGGAATGTGTATTCTCTTACTGAACTAGCAGTCTAGAGGTAGGTATTTAATAGTTTCAGGGTTCTTTCAGCAGCTCATCGGTATCATCAAAGACCCAGACACTTGTCACACATTTCTAGGCCATCATCCTTAGCATGTTGGTTTTTTATTCCCGTGCCTGTTGCCTCACTGTTGTAAGATGGCTGCTACAATGCCAGACATCACATCCTCACACTGTACTTAATGTAAGGATATAGCGAAAGCTGTTCTTCTTCCAGAAGGCACTTTCCTTTTTCTAGGGAAGAGACATATTTTTATCATAGTTCATGCATTCAAATACACTATAAAATTTTCTTTCTACTAATTCTCTTCTGTAAGGTATCTGAGGTAGGCAGTGAAAGCAGTGTCTTTCACTACTTTTATACTTCAAAAAGTCCTCAGAACAAAGACGCTCAGACGTCAGTGGCTAGGTACTCAGCCTTCCGATGCATTATCTATAAGCTCAAGGAGCATCAACATAGTCCTTTGAAAACGAAGAGCATCCCGAAAGTTAAAGCAGACTGCACCTCTGCCTTCATTAGTGAAAAACGCCCTGTCAGTACTTTCTATCCTAAGAATAAAATGCAGCGACATGTGACTAGGAGCAAAAGCCTCCTGAGCCTTGATGCAAATCATTGGTCCACTTCCTGCAGTGACTCTGGGCTGGATTTGTACTCCCCAGGTGGGGTGGCTGTGCACTGGACTTCCAGGCCTGGGGAAAGGGCAGTCACATCCTCAGTCGTGTTAAACGCCCAAGGCTGGCAGGCTGTGGTATAACGTGGTTAGGACGGCGGGAACAGGGGTCAGACCTGCTGGATTCAAATCCCATTCTGCCTGGTACCAGCGGTGCAACCTTGGGCAACCATTTAACCAGTGTTGGGTTAAGTGAGGTTAACAGTACCTACCTACCTCCTAGGGTTGCTGTAATAAATTAGTTAATCTACAGAAGCGCTTGGAACAGCGTGTGGCTGGCACACAGCGAACTTTGTTAATATTACAGCCTTCCCACTAAGACATTCTGCCTGCATATGAAACAGGTCTTGTGAGTTAAGAGACTTTGAGATCCAGGAGCGGAATGGCCATGGTTGGGGAATCAGAGAGAAAGGGAAAAAAGAAATCAGGATAGGGGCAGAAGGACAGCTACGGTGACATTTATCCACTGGAGCCCGCCTACAGCCTTCGTCTCCCGGCCTCCGGGCCTCTCCACCGTTTCTCCGAGGAGTCGGACCCGCAAGCGGCGCAGCACAGCCCTTCTCCAATCAGACACCCCAAGGCTGGCGCCACGTATGCGACCTGGTCCAATCTCGTCCCCGGGAGGGCGGAAACGCAAAGTTCCTACCTGCACCTGTGGCAGCGGTGGACGCCTCCTGGATTTTTTTTTTCTTCTTCTTCTTCCCGCTGTCCCGGGGTTCTGGTTTCTCGAGTCACTTGGCGAATGACCAGCAGGTGGGTAGATGTCTTTTCCCGCGCTGAGGACGGAAGCGTAGGAAGAAGGGTAAAAGTGCCAGAGTGAGCAGCCGACGTCCCATCTCCTGGCGGCTCCCAGGCGGCTCCAGCAGAAAAAAGGGACGAGCCTGAGAGTGAACAAATAGTAGTAACCAGAGGAGCAGCCTGGGCTTTCACCTGGGGCCGTGAGCCTGGTACCCACTCGCCGCAGCGCCCTCCGGTCAGAGCCGACAGCACTGCGAACCCGATCTGTCGCCGCCGCTGCTGCCGGCAGAAGTCGGCGGCGCCAAGAGAGGCCAGTAGCAGCAGTCGGCTTGGCCGGACTGTGGAGATTTCGGCTGGCATACCTTCCAGAAAAAAGCCTGTCCTCTCCAGGACTGCGCTGAGGGACGCCGCGTCCCGGTTTCCAAGTTACTCCAAGTGCACCCCTTCTGTGCTCTCGGTGGCGAGTGTGACGGGGAGCCGCGGAGTCCTGAGCAGGTGAGCAATCAGGGTGGTTCCGCGGTGGAGCCCATTGGGGTGTCACCCGGGGGGTGGGGGCGGGAGCTCCCCCAGCGCCGGAGGAGAAGTGGCGAGCCGCAGGAGTTCTGCGTACATGTGTGTTATTTGCCATCTTTTTCTTGAGCAATTCGTGCAAAGCCCTTCCGTGCACACAAGTTGATTGCAGAGAAGAAAGTGTAGGGTAGAAGACAGAAAGCATCAGGACACCCCACCACCACCACCAGCGAATAACTTGGGGGTGCTTTTCCCATCTGTAAAGTACAGGGAGCAGGATGTTTGCACACCCTACTGCAAACTGTGCCTAAGGGTGTGGGTGCGTTTTGCATGGAAAGAACTTTTGGCGATTTTTTCTTCTATTTCCAAGTCACAGTCGGAGTGTGCACTCGGGGCGTCCTGGCGAGGAGCCGGTGCTTCTGTCTCTGCGCGCAGCCCAGGTCGCCGCGCCGCCGCGCCGCCGCGCGTAGGCGCTCAGACTTTCTCTCCCGGGTTCTGGGGAGGACAACGTCCAACAACAAACTCGGATGTTTCGCTCTCCAGAGCGCCGGCGAATCCCAGGAGCGTCCAGGCGCGTGGGATGGGAAGCAGCCCCACGGAAACCTGGAATCCAGCCGCCCGCAAGCGAATCCTGCGCCTTGGTGGAGTTAGTGCGGGACAGACCCACACAGTGGGCAGAGGAGTCTAGCTTCCGAGATTAGCTCTTAAATGCTGATAAACAACCCTGTCGCTCCAGAGTGCTCTTTCAAAAGCTGGGAAGACGCAAACTGACTTGGAGTGGTCGAGCGCTCTCTCCTTGGAGGAGGAAATTGCGCAAGGAAAAGAACTGAAGGCTTTAATTTGTAACTAAAATTCTCCAGAGTTGACGTGCCTAATACAGACTCGGGGCATATTTTAATCCAGAACTAAGGGAAGAGGACATTTGCCGCTTGGCCTCCTCTCAACCTTCGGTCGGGGGTGGCTTCACAGAGACGCAAGGTTGGTCTCTGAGGCATAAAAGGAAGGCTAGGCTGGCGGTTTTCAAGGGAAACTAAGTCTAATCATGCTTCTCTGAAAGTCACAAGGCAGAAGTTATGTCAAAAGCAGAATTTAAAAGAAAGAAAAAACACCATGAGTTTGTCCCTCCCTCTTACTTACTGGATTGTAAATTATCCCGAAGAATCACATCGAAAAGGATCCTGGAACAGAAGTCTAGGGAGCAAAAACCTTTGACAGGATCTCATGTTTATTGTTCACCTATAGCCGGGAAGCACTTGCTTCGGGGTCCCCTCCTCCCAGGTGCTCATCCAAGGGAAGGCAGTTCTGGGCCAGTGGGTCACCTTGGGGCGTCCGACTACCATGAGGCCGACTGACAGGACAGGCCATTTCCCCCCTCAGGCCGGGTTAATCCAGATGCCGGGGAACCTCTGCTGGGTGCCCGGCGAGCGCTGACCACTGCACTTCCCCTGGAGGTACCGCAAAGGTTGAGGCCGGAGAGTGCCTAGAGTCAGTCTCGAGGCCAGACGGTGGCGCCTTGGAAGCCACTCGTCCGCCAGCACCTTTGGGGGGATGGGGGGATGGGAACGGTGCCCTCTGAGGGCAGCGCGTCTCTGGGCTCGCGCAGCTCCGGGCGCTGGTACCCCAGCTGATTAGGTGTCGCGCGGAGAGAAGGGGAGGAATGGGACCTGGGGGAACATGACAAACCCAGTAACTAAGTTTTGTTTTCTTCCCCAGCGCACACCGCCGCCTCGGGTCCCGCCCCGCAGCCCGGTTGCGAAGAGCCGGGGACGGAGCGGCGTGGACGCCGGAGGCCACCGGGAGAGAGCGGCTGCTGCCGCCGAGGCCCTTCCTCTCGTGCGGCGCCCCGAGCCCCTCGGCCCGCTGGCCATGGCCGACAGCGGCGGCACGGGCAGCTCGGGCCCCTGGTGGAAATCGTTAACGAACAGCAGGAAGAAAAGCAAGGAAGCCACGGTCGGGGCGCAGCCTCCCGCCCAGCCTGCCCCCGGGGAGCCCGCGCCGCCCGCGCCGCCCAGCCCGGACTGGACTAGCAGCTCCCGGGAGAATCAGCGCCCCAATCTCCTCGCGGGCGCCGGCGATCCCCACAAGCCAGACAAGTTGGTCGCGGAGAAATCCGGCAACAGCCGCCGCAATTTGAAGATTTCGCGCTCCGGGCGCTTTAAGGAAAAGAGGAAAGTGCGAGCCACTCTGCTCCCCGAGGGAGTCAGGTCCCTGGAGGAGGCAGGCTTCCCTGGCGACCCCCACGATGACAAGCAGTAGCCGGATCGGACTGTCCCCACCACGCCTCCCCAACCCCCAGTTCTAAACCCGAGAGTTCTGGCCTCCCCAGCGCTTGGTGCCTCATCCCACCAAATTCAGAATCTTCACGCAAGGCTTCCAAGATTTTATTTTCTTGGACATGGAAGTGTCAGTTGAGTTTGCAATATTTCATGACCCAAGAATGCGTTAAATATTTATTTGTGGTTAAGAGAAGATACCCGGCACAGAGAAAGTTGTCATAATATTATCTCCAAAAAGCTATTCTGTGTGTCACCTGTGGGAGTGAGAACAGGTACGTTTCTAAGAGACCATAGCTCCACTTGACCTGTGCAGCCCCTCCGATAAGGAAGCCGGGCTCTATCTAATTCAGAACTCCTACTGGAGAGCAAATCACAGGGCTGTTTTTAATGCCTGAGAAATACACTTTAGAAGCACTTCTGTCGACTTACACCTTAAGTGCAGGGATGGGAGAGAGCAGGAGGCATTCTAAGCAGGAACATGTTAAGTAAGGAAAGATTGCTTTTAATGTTGAACTACAAAGCTGTCCTGTCTTCCTATTTTACTGTGGACTATTAAAATCGTGGCACTGTAAGACTTAAGGTGACTTTTGTACTTTTTCCACGGTGAGACTGAAGCCCATCATACTTAAAAAGCAGGTGTGCAAAATCTGAGGTGACAGAGTTAATCATTTGCCACCTAACAACTACTCTTGGAAACCTTTATCGAGGAGAACATTTCTAGAAACTAGTAACACGCAGGCTGGAACCAGTTAGCACGATATTCCCATTTACTGACCAAATTCCAGGAAGGGGGGTGGGGGGGAAAGGCCTTCATTCATTATTCCTAAATTCTCTTTTTTACTTCAGTGCATCTTTATACATAAGTCACAATGCTGGTCATCATTCTTTTCAGCCTCCTTGTGAACCTCACTAACAATTGCCTACAAATACGCAAACAGATGGACTGGACTCTCAGTTTGTGCAAAGCCAGCTTCTTTTCCCACGCCTTTGTTTCAAAAGCTTCTTTAGTCTGATGTATGTATGCATTTATCTAGTTTCAAAGCCTTCAGATCCACCAACCTGAAGATTCTTAACAAAAATCTACCTGTTTGCTTTTGTTATGAACTTCAAGAAAAAAAAAGAGTAAATGAATACCACTTGCTTTCAGCAAATTACAAGAGGGTTATTGTGGTTGTGACGGTCCACTGGGACCTTTCCCCACCACTATTCAGTTCATTTATAAACATCCCGAAATGCATAGCAGGGAAATTATAATGATCAAAGTGTATTTTTTTAAGATAATTATAAGCAAGAACTTGATTGGAGCTTCTGAATGTGTTATAGGTATGTAGAGAGGCATTTTTCTGTTTCTTTCAAATTAGTAATTTGTAAAATTGCAAACCATGTTAATTGTCTAAAGAGATTTAACCAAGAAACTTGATAAAAATGGTTAAAATGGTTTTAAATGAGTGACTCAGGTCTGGGTACCAGCAGAACAATAGGGTGTACCATCTGATACATGAGTTTCCACATACTAAAGACTTACTCCAAAGGAAATTGTTTACATAGGGATTACGAACACCTTTATAAGAGAAAGCATGTGAGCCTTTTTTTTATTTTTCTTTTTTAACCATGAAAAGGCTTTTTTGGCGTGTATTTAGAACTGGAAACTAAGTGACCAAAGTCTCCTCAGGGTGAGCTTCCTGGATAAGAACGACTTTACATCAGTGATAAGTGGGCCTACCATCTCCAGACTCTGATGAAGACCTTGGGAGACTCATGGCCCGGAAAGAAACTATGGGATGGCAGAGGGCTAGGGGTGCATAGAGCAGAGCCGTCAAATAAGGCTTTGGGACACCTTCGTGAAATCATTTCATGTGACTCTGTAGAAAGTAATAAACATTAGAGTGGATAACCATCCAAAATACTTTTCTCCTCCCTGGAAGACAAACAGATTAGGACTGTACCTATTTATAAAATTAAGCCTGCAATTACACAATTTTAAAATCTTATCCTAACTCTCAAATCCACTGTCTTAGAGAACATTTTTTTTTCTTAAAAATTCCTTTAGATCTACAAAACACTCACATTTTTCCAGGTTTTATATCATGTTTTGGATCCTACCCAATTCTATAATTGCTGGAGGTAATCAATAGCAGACATAGCAGGGGAACTTATTAACAAGACATCTTTGCCCCACTGTTCTGAAAAAATTTAAAGCCATGCTAATGGAAGTTATGACGGTGAGTGCAGCTCACAATCTGCGATCGAGGTTTGTAATTACATAGTTTTAAAGCAGCCCTAATCAGGCAGCAGCAGTGCCCTGATTTAATCCCAACTCAGTGAAACCAGAAACCAAGCAAAATCGGGGAGATAGAAAGATCATGAGTTAGATGAGATAATTTGACAAAGTGTCTTTCTGGGATTTATACGATTTAGAGGTGATTAATTGCATTCCCATAACATATACCGATTTAAAAAAATTTTTTTTAATCCTCAAGATAATTTATAGAAAATAAAGGGAAAATGTTACATTAAATTTTGAGTTAAGTAGATTTAGAGACTTTTGTTCTCTTTTCAATCCGCTTACACTTGAAATTTTAGCCACAAATTTGGAAACCATGAAAGAAATTGTAATTACCATGTTTCCAAATAAGATTTTTAAACGGGACAGAACTCTATGGTGTGTTTGCTAAATACGTTCATAACCACCACGGTAATTATATGCACAGGTATTTTTTTTTGCCTCAGCGACTCTCCTTGCAAAGTCTGAGGCCAAGCAGTGACTCATATTACTGGTGGCCTGAAAGTCCCTTTGTGTTCCTGCTGTTATTCATCCCATTGTGACTTGCATTGAGACACTATTTTGCATATGCAATTAGGAGATTCTGCTTGGAAATATTCTTTTCTGCTGTGACACGTAATGTAAACTGCAACGCTGATCTTACTGACTCCTTAACAGGAAGCCAGAAACCTAATAAACAGTAGCATTGGCTAAAACATGGGCAGAAATAGTTCTCCTGAGATGCTCAGAAGAGAATTTTGGCACCTTGAAATAAATAAAATGAACAGAAAGAATTTCAAAAAGTGGACCGGAAAGTAAAAGAAACGGGACACTAATAATACCCAGTGACCACAAGGGAACTTTTATGAAAAAGAGAGAGAGAAAAAAAAAATTTTCTCTAGAAGTGTCAGCCAGACTGGAAGCAAACACACACACACAAAAACTAGCTCGACAGATGCAGTCAGGAAAATGGATCTTTGAGAAGTCTATTTTATTCATGCAGCATTTATTATAATTATACAGAAATTTTAGAGATTCTTTCTTAGGATAAGTTTATCTCCATGGCAAAGAGAAAGTGGGACCAGAGATATTTTATACCCATGGGTGTCAACATACAAGTACCTTAGACTAGAAACAAGTGTGCAGACCAGGGCAAACTTTGTCATAGATAATTTGGCTGTCCCACTGCAGCATTGTTCTTCTCACCTGTTCTTTGTGCTCCTCATCCCCATTGTCACCATGCTCCTGAGCCATCGCACAAGCACTCAGAATAGGCTCAGAGAGTTGGAGGAGGGGGTGCTGGCGACACAGGGGCATTCCTTAGCCCCCTGCAGACCCAGCGTCTTGACAACCACTTTGTCAATGTGGCCTTGCAGATTTGGAATATGGGATCAATTGCATTTATGGTTAAGAGAAGAGCATCGCTAAGGAGATGACTGACATACAAGGAAACTGCACAGGCCTTGCCTGAGCAGAGGACAGCTGACCACTTGTATAGAAATGGGAATAGCTATCGACCACACAAGGAAGAATAACAGGATCTAAGCGATCCTTCCAGGTATTCAAAGCAAGGAATTTACTGTTGCTTCCAAACCAAATTGTGCTGCTGATGACACAGCAATGGACTCACAAGTCTCATGTTAGAGTTGTTGATAAAATTTCATGCAATAAAAATATTCACGAATAAGGTATGTAATGAGACTGTTTAACCACAAGCCAGAGATGTCTGGCCCCTAAAACTAGAACGGTTCATGGTGAAGACGCTGGAGGGGCCTCGTCCTGAGAGGAGCCGGTTGAGTATCGAATGTGGGACCATTGTGGAATCTCCATGCCCTTTTCCAAGGGATTTTTATTAAGTTACAAGTGCCCTGGGTTATTCATTTCTTCCTAGTGCTAGTCGACAAGTACAACCGATGATGTCATATCCTACAGGAACAGCAGGCGCAGTTTTCCACGACACCTGACCATCGCTCTCTCTCTGACTAGCTCTCGGATGGGCCTGAGATGACCTGGTGCCAGTTTATTCCTCTGTAAAGTGATAAGATGGAGTCTATAGTCCATCTTCAAAATTCTCTTTCGGTATTCTGCTATTTTGAGCAACTGGTCGTGAAAGCTAGTTCATATAACGCTCATCATTTACTATATAAGACCGAGTGTTTTACAAGCCCTGTAGTGACGGTCAGGTGGAGAGCCAGGAGGGAGGCCAAGGAGTATAAAGTGCAGTGAGGCGGCCGCCCTTGGGGTGTGGTGCCGCCACCGCCACGCTGTCACCGGGCCCAACATTGGGGTTATTCTGCCGTTGGAAACATCAAGCCTCGTTATTCATGTCTAGAATCAAACTGCAGTAAGGAAACCTCACGATAG